CCACAATATCCACATTGACCGCCACAAATATCCACCGCCCCCTGCCATCAGCTCCCGCGTCTCACACACACACACACGAGCACGACTTTAGCACTAGATTTAGCAACTTTCAGACCCTTTTAGCGGCTTTTTTCCATAGAATATTCATACTGACAAACCTAGCGACTTTTTTGGATAAACCTTAGCTATGGTTCAGTTGGAAGATTTTGCCAGTGCTGTCCTGCGAACATGAGGTCTGACTTTCCCGGAGAAGTGTCACCTCTCTCTGCGTCTGTTCTGTGCAGTGAGCGGCAGAGAAGCAGTGCATTCAGTTGGCCGCACCGTAGCCGACTCGTCAATAAATGAGTACAAAACAGCGTTTCCTAGTGCCTGTCGCTTACTGATTGTTTGGAATTATAAATATGAGCGTAGTTCGTCTGTTAATAATCACATGCACTTTTTTGTTTGTTGTTTTTTTTAGTTTGTTACTCAGACGCAGGCAGTGCTGCATGAGACAAAAAAATAATATAGCCAAAACAACCGCATCGCCGTTTTTTAGTGTAGATGCATGTTGATTTTATCAGACGATGCTGTGATTATAAATGAGAGTGACTCCTGGTTAACATGTATTAAAAGGGGTCGTGTTTAGTTACTATTTAGTGTGGTATTTTTTGGTAAAATAGGGCATTCTAAGGCAATATACTGCAGTATTTCCTCTCAATCAGTAGAAAATATGGTTAACACCCAGTCATGCATGAAAAAAAAAAATACCGTCATGTACCGTCAAACCGGTATAATTTTGAAAAATACCGTGATATCAATTTTTGGTCATACCGCCCAGCACTACTTATTATTAATGCTTCATTAATTCAGCATTTATTTAAATGAATATTTTTTACAAAATACCTACCTGCCAATAACAAAGGCATTTCTTTCTTCAATGCGAAATATGCAAAATGTTTTTAATAAATGAAAACTATTTATTATAATTAGCATATTTGGGCTCAGTAAGATTTTCAATAAATTATTTTTTTCAGCAAGGACATAGTCATCAAGAATGACAGTAAAGACATTTATGTTACAAAAGATTAATATTTCAAATAAATTCAGCTTTTTTGAACTTTCTATTCATCAAAGAATCCAGAAAACAAATGCATCACAGTTTCCACAAAAATATTAAGCAGCACATCTGTTTTATAACACTGCTAATAATAAGAAATGTTTCATCATACTAAAAAAAAATAATCATGTGAAATTCAGCTATACATCACAGGAATAAATTACATTTGAAAATATAAAAAAAGAAAGAAAAAAACATTTAAAATTGTAATACTTCACAATATTACGGTTTTACAGTATTTGTGTCAAATGTGTCAAATGCAGCCTTGGTGAGCATAAGATACCTCTTTCAAAAACATTACAAATTCTAACCAACCCCAAACTCAACTGCCATTGAGATCGATGGAAATGCTAACAGGCCGATTTCTCAAGGTATTACTCTGATTTCTACAGGTAGATACTCTGGGAAAATGTTTCTCTAACAGCATGACTGCTAAAATTGAGAAGACATCCATTTGAACAAAATTTCCACCACTATCAATAATATATCAAATAAGGCAAACATCTCACAGGAACACTGAATTAAGCATTACAATTCCATCAAAACTCATTAGTAACGTTCTCAAGGCCTGTGGATGGCTGTGATCACTCCATCTCTCTAGTCCACACAGGAAGAGCTGCCTTTTCATTCATAACTAATCAACCACTGCAAAACAATACTCAAGAGTTGTGCCCAGGGAGCTGGTGGGCGCTGACTCGCTCAGGGCTTTCTGAGGACGTGTTGTTGATGCCCTCTCAATCATACATATGGAGAGGCAAAATGTTAATGGCCGATGCATGAGTGGGATTCATGAATAAAAATCTTACTGACAAAGTTTCAGTTGCGTAGGGGAAGATCCCACAAACATTGTGAGACATTGTGCTCTAAATGCCAAAAGCAGAGATGCAGATGGACCCTGAGGGATAGAGAATGACAATTTAATTATTAACAAGTTTTAAAAGGATAAGGTATCATGAAATTTAACAAATAAAACTACAAAGCCACAGTCTTTCTGAATAACATTACACAGGAAAACAAAAATCATATATCCCCGTAATATTCCAACTGTTTCCCCTAGAGAGCAATTTTCAGTTTTCTTCTGAGAAAAAGATGCTGGTAATCTCAAGAAGTATTTGAAAAAGATTTCAATAATGTCACAAGCTTTGCTCAGAATTGCCAATTGTTTGAGCTGTGTTATGTACATTCATTAAGAGCAATGACATTTAATAGTGTCCACATTAAAGACAAAGAAAAGTCTTCAAAATCCAGTTTTAAGCACATATGCCAAGTAAATGTACTCTTTGTATGCATGTTGGGTTTGAAAAAAAAAAAGAAAAAAAAAGAAAAAAAAAAGCTTTTGTACCATTATAAGAGTTTCAATTTAATGACTCTAAAATGTGGTGAAACCATCAAATAAAATTATTTTTTCTTTGAATATTTTTTTTTTTCAACAAATGTCTCTAATTTGGCAGACAGCCATTTTACAAACAGTAATAAGCAATCAAGCAGTTTTGTAAAAACATTTTAAGGAATAATAAAAGATTATTCCAAACTATTTCATAAGGGGTTTAATTAGATTTGTTTTTTCTTCATTGTGATATCTGGACAGATCACTCAATTAATTGAAATTCAGAAATACCAACATGCCCCTTACAGTAGACAAAAAATAATAAATGTGGACAAAAATGAGTGCCGTTTAACCTTTTATTTACATTTTAAATATATGTAGTTGGTGCTTTTATCCAAAG